TATTGTGGACAGGGCCGTCTTTAATATTAACCAGACCATGGACAACCATTTGCTTGGACACTGCCCCCTGCCAGACATACTAACACACATACACAGAGACATACACTGACAGACATACTGAGACACACGCAGACACATACACTGACAGACATACTGACACACACACACAGACATATACTGTCAGACATATTGACACATACACAGACATAAAATGACAGACATATTGACACAGACATAAAATGACAGACATACTGACGCACACATACTGACACACTGACAGACATACTGACACAAGCACAGACACATACACTGACAGACATACTGACACAAACATACACTGACAGACATACTGATATGAACATACACATACACAGACATAAACATACACTGACAGACATACAGACACATACATTGACATAAATTTACACTTTTAAACCCACCACAAGTGTCCTACCTTGGAAGGTGGTTCCCCAATGTCCAGACTGATGGCTGAGGCTGTTGGGATCTGCCTCTCCCGGCACAGGCTCCCTCCTTCGTCTCCCGCGCGGCTCTTCTCCTTAGTGGGAGGAAGTGACTCGCAGCCGTCACTTCCTCCCAGTGCTGCCGAAAAGCAAAGGGCCCGGTTGCGCTCTTTAAGGGCTACAGCGTGTGACCAGGCCCCTGCTTACAAATACCTACCCGGGCCAGTGGCCCCATGGGGGGAAAAATTGTTGAGGGCAGCTTGGCCCATGGGGAAGCTGCCTTGGGCCCCCAAGAGTAACTGGGCCCGGGGCAGCTGCCCCGTTTGCCCCGCGTTAAGACGGTCCTGGTTGTGGAGCAAAGTGCTAAGGAGCAATCACCATAACCAATGATATGCCCTTCACTGCTTTGCAGTTTGCTACAAAACAGCACCTGTAAATCACCCCTCACCCCTTTGATCTGTTCTCAATGTGGCTGGTTTTTCTGGCATTGGCGTTTGTTCTTTTATTTTAAGAGACAACAACAAGACACCTAGAATAGACTTCTTAGCACTTGTTACCTAGAACCACCTCTCTTTTGCATAATCTAACAATACCACACACGCCTATCCAAGAAACAGTTGAGTTGCCAATTATGTGATTACTTTTGATCCTCAAAAATGGAGGCGCTAAGTATAACGTGGTCAATAATTCCTACACTGTTCATAGTTTATCAGTCTAAATAGATTGAAAGAGAAGCTGACAGCTGTACTTTTTTTTTTCCAATTCGTTATCTTTTCATTTCAAATACTTATGGAATCTTGTAGATATTTATTGCAGATTGTACAGAATTATTCCATGAACACGATCCTGTATGTAGAATATATAGCTATTTCCAGTGTCACATCTATATTAGTGTCGGGTAATGCAGACTTTACCAGAAAAACCTCTTTACTGCATTAGTATAAAAGCTGCTCATTTTGTTTCTGCCTTTTTCTCCTTTTTTGTGTAATTGTGTCATATACTTACCGTTTCAATAAATCTATTGTGTGTTTGTGTGTGTGTGTGTGTGTGTGTGTATATATATATAAATAATACTTTTTTTATGTAAACTTTTTAAATATGTAATTTAATAAAAACCAATAAATATATTTTTTACCTTTTTGTTTTAGGCATTTATACTTTTTGCAACTCAAAAATGATATTCTCGAAGGGAGGTAAGGGCATTTTTCATATATTTATTTAGTATTTGAATTGCCCCCAGCTGCACAGGTTATAATCACAATGACTTTCCATTTCCCATTTCCTGTGATGATCTGTGAAACATATATTAAATTAATGCATTGTTTAATATTTGAACTTCAGCAGAAAATATTCCAAGAGATAGCCTCAAGTGACATCACTGCTAAATGTGTTCATTTCCTTAATCCATTTCAGTGTTTTCCTCTCATTTTAATACATTTCATTTATTCCATTACACTTTATATGTGTACTTAATTGTTAGATAGCTAGTTAACATATGGAAATTATAATATCACCATTACATACTGAATATTTAATTATTATATATATCATTAATCCCTTAACTCTTACATTGCCCAATACATATAATTTAATATAAAAGATACATAACACAAGAAGTTTGTATCGGGGCACAAATAATGCCATCCCTGTGTTCTGGATACGTTTGTAAACTTATGGTCTTGTGGGTTATGATTTCTCCTAATACATGGTTCATTATTATGTCTTATTTCTATGTACATTGTGTGTGTGTGTGTTTGTATATTACTATTATTATTAAATGTTAGTGTGTTATGAGACCTATAATTCACATCTGTATTTCTAAACATTTTTTTTTTAAAGCTTTTATATGTGCATTAGTAGTTACATTTTACTGTAACTGACATCTGAGACCACTCTGAGCACTTGTTGGTTGCTTTTGAAGCCAGTTTGCATGCCTAGTAGTAGAGTAACCATGTAGTTTGGAGGGAAAGAACCAAATTCTGTTTCTGATTGCAAGTGTTGCAGTGGTTATGCGTAGTGTGGCACATTGGGTCCACAACAAATGGCATCTGGTTTTGTGTTGACTGTTACATTAGAGATTTTTTATCTCCTGCTCTGTATTAAACATTAATTACTCACAGGAGACTCCTGCAGGACATATGAAATTATAAATTAAACAGAATTTGAAATAATGGAAATTTAAAACGTTAGATCTCTCTTTACAGAAAATGTGTAGGTAGGCTGAGTATGTCACATAAAGGACAGTAATACCTTCAAAGTAGTGAGTTCAGGAGCTAGTTCACTATAACCCCTTAAGGACACATGACGGAAATATTCTGTCATGATTCCCTTTTATTCCAGAAGTTGTGTCCTTAAGGGGTTAATATGGCTTGGTTGACAATATAATAGTTGTATCCGTTTCTAGGATAACCAGTATTGACGGAAAAAAATATGTATGGTGTGTATACCTTTAAATCTGCTAAAGGCAGATTTTATCTGTTACACACCAAGATACTCTGCTTAAATATAAAGCAACTTGATAGTTACAGATTCACAACAGCAAAAATGTGATCTGCACGGGGTTTAGAATACACACAAAATATTATAATGGATATATCTTAAAATCATAAGGTAGCACACTAAATGGTGCAAATAGGCAATATATAACTTGTGTCACAGAGATATAGAATTATCTTTATCTCTATATATAGAAACAGGTGAATGCAAGTAAGTTAAAAAATTCCAAAAAACCACTGAAAAATATATAAAATAAAAATGTATATTTATTAATATTAAAAAATAGATGGATGAGAAATTGTATTAAAATTAATGAGTTAAAAAGTACAATTGTGCAAAAAATACAGAAATGGGGACCAGGAACGATCTACAAGTCAGTTGTCAGCATAAATATTAAACTTGTGTCCTGATAACCACTGTAACCGATGAGGATTACAGTGGATACTATTTAGCAGGATTTCAGTATCTGTACTTGCCGGCTGCTGCGAGGTTGGCGTGCGTGCCAAACCTCACTGTGATAGTCTGATACCGGCAGTCCGTCAGTCCCGCGATCGATGGGGAAAGGAGCTGTGCTGGCTGCTGACAGCTGGCTGTTCTCCGTATCCTGTGTCCTCTCACACTGTCGGCTTGTCTTACGCGTTTCGTGGGTGTCAGCCCCACTTCCTCAGAGACGTTATGGAATTCCATCTGGGCGTGCAGTTTATATACATGACTCAATAAAAAAAAAAAAAACAAATATGGCAATTACTCTATATGAGTGAATTATTACTGTTACAATTAATCTATGTACATGAAAAACGGCATATATATAAAGACTAGTGAAAAATATATTAATAGATTCATAGAGATTATACACATTAGATGATAAAACAGTGGCATGGAATTAATAAACTAATCAAAATTGAGAATAAGAATAAATCGAAATAGAAGTAAAAGTAAAAATAAAAATAAAAATGAGTATAAAAAGATAAGTTGTTCCTCAGAAATCTGTGTGTTATATACAAATAATAATGCTTAAATATTTGTGCTAATGAGAAGTATAAATATATGGAAAAGTATAAAATATAGCATATAAACTGTAAATTACAATATGTAGAATAATGGTGTAGGATATAGAGTGTAAATAATACATATATATAACATGTATAGTTAAGAAATAATGGCATCATGGCTCATATTTAATTAAGATAGTGGAAACATTAATAGTATAAGTTATACTGTAAAATAATGTGTTGAAAATAAAGTGACTAAGTGCAATAGAGTGAATCACTATATGATGATTTAATAATCAGCAAATGGTGGAGAAGTCCCAATGTTATAGATAGAAATGATAATAAAAAAATAAAAAAAAGGATAAAGAAAAATTTTTGTTTAAAAAGACACATAATAATATTCTTTATAAAAAAGCATTCAATTCGAAATCTATATTGAGTCCTTTAGGAACCAAAGTCTCTAGGTGGAAAATCCACCTTGCTTCAGTTTGGTCCAAGTACTTTTCTATATTGCCCCCTCTCCAATGGACATCTACTTGTTCAATGGGTAAAAATTTTAATCCTGTAGGATCTCCTCCGTGAAAATCTTGGAAATGTCTTGAGAGATTATGGGTTTGAAGTCCCTTTCTGATGTTTCTTATGTGTTCCGCCATCCTTGTCTTCAATGCCCTTTTTGTTCGTCCTATATACTGCTTAGAACATGGGCATGTAATCAGATAAATTACCCCTTTTGTATCACAGTTCATATTGGTCTTAATATCAAATTCTTCCGTACCATCCATAGATGTAAATCTAGTGGTTTTGAATTCTTGGAGGGGATTATTTATACATGCAACACATTTCTTGCATCGTTTAAAGCTTTTAATAGTGTTTTTATCCTGTTGGACATTTTGCTGTTTAAAAGTTGGAGCCAGAAGTAGTTGTAGGTTGGGTGCCTTAGTAAAAATGATCCGTGGTTGATTCTCCAGAATGTCTGTGAGAGTTGAATCGCTTGTGAGAATGTTCCAATGTTTTTTAAGAATTTTTTCTATAGTACGAAATTGATGGTTATATTGAGTTATAAATGCTGGTACTGATTGACTCATCTCATCTAATGCTCTTAGCCATTCAAAGACAGGATACTCTCAAAAACAAACACAAGGATAATTCTACCGAGATGAGTCAATCAGTACCAGCATTTATAACTCAATATAACCATCAATTTCGTACTATAGAAAAAATTCTTAAAAAACATTGGAACATTCTCACAAGCGATTCAACTCTCACAGGCATTCTGGAGAATCAACCACGGATCATTTTTACTAAGGCACCCAACCTACAACTACTTCTGGCTCCAACTTTTAAACAGCAAAATGTGCAACAGGATAAAAACACTATTAAAAGCTTTAAACGATGCAAGAAATGTGTTGCATGTATAAATAATCCCCTCCAAGAATTCAAAACTACTAGATTTACATCTATGGATGGTACGGAAGAATTTGATATTAAGACCAATATGAACTGTGATACAAAAGGGGTAATTTATCTGATTACATGCCCATGTTCTAAGCAGTATATAGGACGAACAAAAAGGGCATTGAAGACAAGGATGGCGGAACACATAAGAAACATCAGAAAGGGACTTCAAACCCATAATCTCTCAAGACATTTCCAAGATTTTCACGGAGGAGATCCTACAGGATTAAAATTTTTACCCATTGAACAAGTAGATGTCCATTGGAGAGGGGGCAATATAGAAAAGTACTTGGACCAAACTGAAGCAAGGTGGATTTTCCACCTAGAGACTTTGGTTCCTAAAGGACTCAATATAGATTTCGAATTGAATGCTTTTTTATAAAGAATATTATTATGTGTCTTTTTAAACAAAAATTTTTCTTTATCCTTTTTTTTTTTTTTTTTAATTATCATTTCTATCTATAACATTGGGACTTCTCCACCATTTGCTGATTATTAAATCATCATATAGTGATTCACTCTATTGCACTTAGTCACTTTATTTTCAACACATTATTTTACAGTATAACTTATACTATTAATGTTTCCACTATCTTAATTAAATATGAGCCATGATGCCATTATTTCTTAACTATACATGTTATATATATGTATTATTTACACTCTATATCCTACACCATTATTCTACATATTGTAATTTACAGTTTATATGCTATATTTTATACTTTTCCATATATTTATACTTCTCATTAGCACAAATATTTAAGCATTATTATTTGTATATAACACACAGATTTCTGAGGAACAACTTATCTTTTTATACTCATTTTTATTTTTATTTTTACTTTTACTTCTATTTCGATTTATTCTTATTCTCAATTTTGATTAGTTTATTAATTCCATGCCACTGTTTTATCATCTAATGTGTATAATCTCTATGAATCTATTAATATATTTTTCACTAGTCTTTATATATATGCCGTTTTTCATGTACATAGATTAATTGTAACAGTAATAATTCACTCATATAGAGTAATTGCCATATTTGTTTTTTTTTTTTTTATTGAGTCATGTATATAAACTGCACGCCCAGATGGAATTCCATAACGTCTCTGAGGAAGTGGGGCTGACACCCACGAAACGCGTAAGACAAGCCGACAGTGTGAGAGGACACAGGATACGGAGAACAGCCAGCTGTCAGCAGCCAGCACAGCTCCTTTCCCCATCGATCGCGGGACTGACGGACTGCCGGTATCAGACTATCACAGTGAGGTTTGGCACGCACGCCAACCTCGCAGCAGCCGGCAAGTACAGATACTGAAATCCTGCTACATAGTATCCACTGTAATCCTCATCGGTTACAGTGGTTATCAGGACACAAGTTTAATATTTATGCTGACAACTGACTTGTAGATCGTTCCTGGTCCCCATTTCTGTATTTTTTGCACAATTGTACTTTTTAACTCATTAATTTTAATACAATTTCTCATCCATCTATTTTTTAATATTAATAAATATACATTTTTATTTTATATATTTTTCAGTGGTTTTTTGGAATTTTTTAACTTACTTGCATTCATCTGTTTCTATATATAGAGATAAAGATAATTCTATATCTCTGTGACACAAGTTATATATTGCCTATTTGCACCATTTAGTGTGCTACCTTATGATTTTAAGATATATCCATTATAATATTTTGTGTGTATTCTAAACCCCGTGCAGATCACATTTTTGCTGTTGTGAATCTGTAACTATCAAGTTGCTTTATATTTAAGCAGAGTATCTTGGTGTGTAACAGATAAAATCTGCCTTTAGCAGATTTAAAGGTATACACACCATACATATTTTTTTCCGTCAATACTGGTTATCCTAGAAACGGATACAACTATTATATTGTCAACCAAGCCATATTATAGTGAACTAGCTCCTGAACTCACTACCTTGAAGGTATTACTGTCCTTTATTCCTTTGGACAGGTTTGGGTGTATCCCTGTCCTGGTTCAGTATTGAGCTATCCACTCTGAGTCGGACTCCCTCATCCCTGTGTGTTGCACTAGGCAGACCAGATTTTACTATGAGTATGTCACATGCCTGGCAGGTGTGGCTTAGGCTACATCAACAAAGTGGTTTAACTCATAATTGGAAGAGAATTAAGCAGTTACAATGCAGGGGCATAAACTATAGACCTAAGCCAATAAATTAAGCTAAAGTTGTTTTAGTGCTTATTGTGTTCCTTTAAATGTGTGCCACAATTGATTTGGGCTTATTCTCTTTTCCTCTGTTGGGACTTTAGGGAAGTTTAACTATTAAACTTTGAACAGGATTTAAAGTCTCTGCGTGCTCAGTGCAAGTTACTGTGTCACTCTGACTGCCATTACCAAACTGCAGAAGAGGGGCTTGGCAATATGCGCTTGGGCAACCCTAATTTTTGTGAAACAAGGCAGACGCTATATGGGGAGATGTTGCCAACCAAATCATTGCACTTTCGACTTTAAAACCACTTGTGCTCATTCCTAAGGTGCAAATTTTAAGTGTATTAGTAGAATCCTGTACCCCTGAAGCAACTAGGTTACATTAAGAAAATGTCTCCATCCAAAATATGTCTTCTTAATGGTATCCATTTCCACTCGCTAAGTAGATGGTTGTAAACAGCTCTAGCTGACCATTAAATGTGATTCTTAGGTTTTCCGATTTTTGCCCTTACAATCAAATATAGAATGCCTAGCATGCTAGAAGCTCATGTAGTGGCAGTTTCTGAAATGTCAGGATGAATTATGGGTCTCCATTCGATCTGTGTATATCTAATCTGAGCTTTTTTTTGTATATGGGTCTATAGAATTGTATATTGGGTGTGAAGTTGTCTATTACCAGTTTTCTCTTACGAAATCCTCTTTCTGACTAGAGCTCCTGGTGGTCATTCCAGTCATGCAGCTAATAATTACATGAGATACAAAAAGGAGTCACAAAAGATAATTCCTTAAGTATTTTAATTACATATGTGAACTAAATAAGAACTTGTGTATAACTATACATTTCTAAACACACATACACACACACACCAGTCAAGCCATAAGACTTGCTTTTCCCACAGAAATCTCACTTTAACAGTGCTCTCACTACTGCAAGGGATTCTGGGTAGGCATATGCAAAAAAACATGTTTTTGCTTCATAATTCCACTTTATACATGTATTCCTTGCAGTATGTGTCTGCTGTATACAACAGCTTTGAAACACAACTCAGGAAGAGGCGCAAAGCCAGTGGACCACTCACAGACAGCTGTTGCATTGTTAATGCCATGTATTAACGATCCACTTACTTCAGATGGAAGGGGTTTTCATCCACACTTTTTCCCCACCACAAATCTGTTGGTATGTATGTAGTATGCAATATCAGGACTATAAAAAAGAAATTTTGAGACAACTCTTGGACAATAAAGTATACAAGCTATCTGAATCGGATCCAACTATTGAATTTGGGAAAACTATTTTTGAGTCATTACAAAGAAGGTTGGAAAACCAATATATAACGCAACAAGAATTTGAATACTTGCATGACATTCATCCCAGATGTTCGGTGTTATATACAGTTCCAAAAGTTCACAAGGACCCCATTCACCCCCTGGGTCAGCCTATAGTCTTAGCCAATGGTGGTTTGTTGGAACCCATTGGCAAATGGTTGGATAAACTGTTCAAAATTCCAGTTCTGGCCTTACCTACCTGTGTAAAGGATAGTGCTGCTATTATAGAACATCTGAATAACATTACAATATTGGCTGAGGGGATTCTACTAGCAACCATTGATGTGGTGTCCAGTCTGTACACAATAATCCCACACCTGGATGGTATGCTAGCGATCAAAGAGTTCTTGCAAAATTTTACTGAGTGGGTGATGCATAGTTTGAACTCTCTACCTACCCCTGTGAGATTCACTTACCAATAGAGCACAACAACTATTCATTTTCTGGACTTACAAATCTTTACCACTGGCAATCGTCTGGGCTATACCTTATTTTCTAAATCAACTGATAGAAACAATATCTTACATTCTACAAGCTTTCTTCCCAGAAAGCTAAAAGATTATCTCCTCATCTCCCAGTTCATCAGAGTGCTATGTAATAACTCTGACAGTCGAGTGAGGACACAAATTCAGGATATGTTGGAGGAATACTATCTGCAATAATTGGCATGTCTTGCATAACGATTCAACTTTACCACCTATGTTTAAAAAAACACCCCATTATGAGTTACAGAAAAGGGAGACGATTGAGAGACTATTTGGTGCATACACAGTTGATTCAGATAGTGATACGAGTGGGATGTTACTGTTCAATGATACTGGGCAAAACCTTCTGCCACCCGAAATCAGGAAAGGCTTATACAATTAAACACTGCATTACATGCAGGACCACACATGTCGTCTGTAGGATTGAATGCCCCTGTGGCCTCACTTATGTGCGGAAGACCTCAAATGATTTAAGACAATGCATGTGGGGACACAGATCTACCATACGCTCTGCGATACCCTAAGTGGCACTGCGAGTACTCCAGTCTCTCAACACTTCTTGGAAATGGAACACAACTTATCTTCACTCTGGTTTATGGGCATAGACCATATAACAGTCCCACCCAGAGGTGGAGATTGTGACAACTTACTGCTTAAGCGTGAAGCTTTTTGGATCTATACCCTAGAAACTTTATCCCCAGCTGGCTTAAATTAGAAAAACCTTTTATCA